GGGGGAGACAGCTAACGTGGAAGAAGGTGTTCTGGTCAGATGAGACCAAAATTTAACTTTTTGGCCTAAAACCAAAAATGCTATGTGTAGCGGAAAGCTAACACTGCACATCACCCTGAACACACCATCCCCACCGTGAAATATGGTGCTGACAGCATCTTGTGAGGATGCTTTTCTTCAGCAGGGACAGGAAAGCTGGTCAGAGTTGATGGGAAGATGGATGGAGCAAAATACAGAATAATCTTAGAAGAAAACCTGTTAGGGTCTGCAAAAGACTTGAGACTGGGGCGGAGGTTCACCTTCCAGCAGGACAATGACCCTAAACGTACAGCCGGAGCTACAATGGAATGGTTTACATCAAAGCATATTCATGTGTTAGAATGGCCCAGTAAAAGTCCAGACCTAATTCCAATTGAGAATCTGTAGCAATACTTGAAAATTGCAGTTCACAGATGCTCGCCATCCAATCTGAAAGAGCTTGAGCTGTTTTGCAAAGAAGAATGGGCAAAAAATTCTCTCTAGATGTGCAAAGCTGGTAGAGATATACCCAAAAAGACTTGCCGCTGGAATTGCAGCGAAAGATGGTTCTGCAAAGTATTGACTCAGGGGGGCTAAATACAAATGCAAACCACACTTTTCAGATATTTGTAAAAGATTTTGAAAAACATTTATCATTTTCCTTCCACTTCACAATTAAGCGCCACTTTGTGTTGGTCTATCACAAAATCCCAATAAAATACATCTACGATTTTGATTGTAACATGCCAAAATGTGGAAAATTTCAAGGGGTATTAATACATATATATATATATATATATATATATATATATATATATATATATATAAAACAAGCTGTGTACAAAATATTAGCAGTGTGTTGAAAAAAGTGAATAAAGCTCAAAACCCTTCTAATAGCTTTTATTTCCATACACACAAATGCATTGGGAACACTACACATTCTATTCCAAATCAAAACATGAAGAAAAATATATCAAATTTGTGTTGTTCCTCTAAAAATATTGAAGAAAAGTGAATATTAGACTGTTCAAAAAAATAGCAGTGTTTGTATTCTTCTTTACAAACTCAAACATTCACTATATAAACTGAAAAATGTTTGAAGATTTTGTTTTCCTTTGAATCACTTGATTAATATTTAGTTGTATAACCACTGTTTCTGAGAACTGCTGTACATCTGTGTTGCATGGAGTCAACCAACTTCTGGCACCTGTGAACAGGTATTCCAGCCCAGGATGATTGGACTACATTCCACAGTTCTTCTCTATTTCTTCATTTTGCCTCAGAAACTGCATTTTTGATGTCACCCCACACGTTTTCTATTGGATTAAGATCGGGAGATTGGGCTGGCCACTCCATAATGTCAATCTTGTTGGTCTGGAACCAAGATGTTGCACGTTTACAGGTGTGTTTGGGGTTGTTGTCTTGTTGGAACACCCATTTCAAGGGCATTTCCTCTTCAGCATAAGGCAGCATGACCTCTTCAAGTATTCTGATGTAATCAAAATGATCCATGATCCCTGGTATGCGATAAATAGGCCCAACACCGTAGTATGAGAAACATCCCCATATCATGATGCTTGCGCAACCATGGTTCACTGTCTTCACAGTGTACTGTGGCTTGAATTCAGTGTTTGGGGGTCGTCTGACAAACTGTCTCTGGCTACTAGACCCAAAAAGAACAATCTTACTTTCATCAGTCCACAAAACGTTGTGCCATTTCTCTTTAGGCCAGTCAATGTGCTCTTTGGCAAATTGTAACTTCTTAAGCATATGTCTTTTTTTCAACAGTGGGACTTTGCGGGGGCTTCTTGCAGATAGCTTGGCTTCACATAGGCATCTTCTAATTGTAACAGTACTCACAGGTAACTTTAGACCTTCTTTGATCTTCCTGGAGCCGATTGTTGGCTGAGTCCTTGCCATTTTGGCTATTCTTCTATCCATTCGAATGGTAGTTTTTCATTTTCTTCCACGTCTTTCAGGTTTTGGTTGCCATTTTAAAGCATTTTCGATCATTTTAGCTGAGCAGCCTATCATTTTCTGCACTTCTTTATATGTTTTCCCCTCTCCAATCAACTTTTTAATCAAGGTACTCTGTTCCTCTGAACAATGTCTGGAACGACCCATTTTCCTCAGAATTTAAGAGAGAAAGGCACTGTAACCAGCATGTACAACATTTGCTGCCTTCCTTCCTTACATAAGGGCAATAATTGCCACCTGTTTTTCAAAGAATGAATGACCTCACTAATAGAACTCCACACTGCTATTATTTTGAACATGCCCCTTTCAATTAGTGATTCAATTACACAGAATCAGCAGCATGCATGTCATGATTGTTGGGTCTGTTGGATTTCTATTACTCTACTACACCTGCTAGTCAATTATTTGCCACGTAGAAATATAATTTCTACCAAAAACAGTGATTGATCAGGTTAGTGATGTCTGACTGCTATTATTTTGAACACAACTGTGTGTATATATATATATATATATATATATATATATATATATATATATATATATATACACACACACACACACACATACATACACACACACAGTGAAGGAGATAAGTATTTGATCCCCTGCTGATATTGAATGATTGCACATTCACAAAGAAATGATCAGTCTAAAAATTGAATGGTAGGTGTATTGTAACACAGAGAGAATAGCAACAACAAATTCAAAAGAGATGCATGTCTAACAAATTATGCACTGATTTACATGTTCACGAGGGATATAAGTATTTCACAAAACTTGACTTAGTACTTGGTGGCAAATCCCTTGTTGGCAATGACAGAGGTCAGACGTTTCCTGTAGTTGGCCACCAGGTTTTCACACATCTCAGGAGGGATTTTAGCCCACTCCTCTTGGCAAATCCTCTCCAAGTCATTAAGGTTTGGTGGCTGACATTTGGCAACTCAAACTTTCAGCTCCCTCCACAGATGTTCAATCAGATTAAGGTCTGGAGAATGGCTAGGCCACTCTAGGACCTTAATGTGCTTCTTCTTGAGCCACTCCTTTGTTGTCTTGGCCAACAAACAATCAGATTCCAAACTCTTCACCATGGCAAAGACCAAAGAGCTGTCCAAGGATGTCAGGGACAAGATTGTAGACCTACACAAGGCTGGACTGGGCTATCAAACGCCAAGCAGCTTGGTTAGAAGGTGACAACAGTTGATACAATCATTCGCAAATGAAAGAAAACAAAACAACTGTCAGTCTCCCTAGGTCTGGTGCATGATGCAAGATCTCACCACGTGGAGTGTCAATGATCATGAGAACAGTGAGGAATCATCCTAGAACTACAAGTGAGGATCTTGTCAATGATCTCCAGGCAGCTAGGACCACAGTCACCAAGAAAACAGTTGGTAACACACTATGCCGACAAGGATTGAAATCCTGCAGTGCCTGCAAGGTCCCTCTGCTCAAGAAAGTACATGTCCAGGCCCGTCTGAAGTTTGCCACTGAACATCTGAACGATGCAGAGGAGGACTGGCCATTGAAATTAATTAATGCTCAAGGTCTAAAAGTGCCTAGTGTTAACACATGTCTAGATGCGTTTACAAGAGTCAGACGTTTTTTCTGCCCAAACTCTGCTGCTCCTGGATGCACTGGCAGTGTTTTTTTTCCTGCCTCTAAATTCTCCTGCCAGTAAACTAATCTAAAGGTATGTGTGCATGGACACAAAGGCTAATATCCAGGGGAGTTTAGAGGCAGGAAAAAAAAACAAACCCCAGATGCCCCTAGAAGCAGTAGCAAAAACGTCCAGTATGCAAGAGGCGTAAAGAGTAAAAAAGAAGTAAAGAAGAAGTAGGACACACTATGGATACAAGGTAAGTAAGGAATAGAGTGCGGAAATCTGCTGAGGATGGGTATGAGTTGCTTTATGACCAAGCAGGATGGCCAAGCTATCCAGATAGGATGGTCCGATAGTAGCGAGTGATCTAAGTCCCTGGGTAAATAATGTTCAATCCAAGGGGTCCACACATGTTCAAACTTACATAGTTTGTTATTAAAGATCACAGAGATCTTTGGGTCAATACAAAGTTTAACAGTTTTCACCATCACAGGGCAGGAGAGGATATCTGTCAATCAGAACACCTGTTCCAATGACAATGATCACAGATTTCCTTAGACTTTTCAAACTTCACTTCCTGTTGGTTCTCTGAGATGGCAAATTATGGTAAACCTCCCCAGTAAGGGCATGGACAAGGTAAAAACCTGTCAGTGGTCTTTAACCCCTTCAACACCCTATCTGAATCTCAAAGAATGAATTTAGTTGGAAGCCTGTCTTTTTTTTTATTTATATGTCATTTTTATTAAAAAAATTTTCAACATACAAGAAAAACACAGGTCTCAGGCACACTTTCCAACACATGAGTTCAGAGAGCCAAGACCTCATAGTTTGTATAGTAATTATTTCATATCTCATTAGCAAGTAACTGATGAAGTGAAAGTCAGGAAGAGGAGGCTTTCCACAGGAGCAGCCCCCTTATGCCCACATACCCTATGATTTTAAATACAGAGCAGAATTCTGGAGTGAGAATCCTCTAGTATCCCCATGCATCAAACAGAAAACCATAATCACCTGTGAACTCTTTCTGCCCCTTGGTTTGCAGGTTACATCGAGCATAAAACTGGACTCATTGCAATAGTGCAGCATAATGTCCTTGGGCATTTCTAAAATGCACCTGACGAAAACAAAGTAAGCCAGTCAACAACTTGAGTTGAATAAGGCAGGAAGGAAAGGGAGTAAGGAAAATCAGAATTACAGACAGGGTAGAGGGAGAAGGATTGAGGCTACCACAATGCGACTGAGTCTGGCCGCTGAGCAAGGCTTCCACTCTTCATTATGTTTTTTTTAGTGTATTAGGAGCTCTGCTTTAAGATTATTACATCCATATTGCACTTGAAGATGTTTGCTTAGTTATTTTAAGGTGAGCAACTATTTTTTACCTCTGGACTTGGCAAGTTGGTATTACCTGTTGGCGCTGTCATCCAGTGTACGTTCAAACCACTGAACAGAGGCAGTCTGTAGTGGATTCATTATCAGTGTCATGAGGTGGCGTGCCAGGCTGCAGCAACGTTCAGAACGCATGGGATTTCTTTTATAGGGCATTGCACTAGAACCTGCCAAAGAAAAGCATGCAGATTATCACTACAGACATCTCACAATTCAAACTGCTAGCGGAATGTATGGATAACAGAGGTAAATTCAATAGCATTAGCTTCAATAGCAACTAACGCTATATTATTGTAAAATAATTCAGATATGTATAAAACTGACTTTATTGACAAGATAAAATGTAAAAGATTCCATTTGAACACCACCACAGGCAGCTACACTCTATATGTAATGTTCCAATATCAATTGTCTGGTTATGAATCACATATGTTAGCATACCTCTTTGTTATTAAAAACACCAGCCCTTTGGGTCACTGATCTCTACCATATTTAAGAGTCATAAAATCCACTCTCTTTAGTCACTGTATTGTATATATCCACAACTGGTATCTCAATATTACTCCTTCAGAGTAGAATAACACCATTTACAGTATAAAACAATATTACTTGCATCCTCTATTAGCATCAAGAAAATATATCCTTTCCAAAACTGAGCTCCTAGTTTTCCCCCCAGCCTGCGCCCCCCCTCCCCCAACTTCTCCATCACGACCAACAACGCCACAATCAGCCCCAGTACTAGGTGTCTTTCTAGACTCCAATCTGTCTTTCCAGCCCCAGGTCCAATCGCTGACAAATTCATGTAGACTCCACCTCCGTAACATCTCCAAAATACTACCGTTCCTAATCCCAGAAACTACAAAGCAACTCATTCACTCCCTTATTATATCACAACTTGACTACTGTAACTCCCTCCTCACCGGCCTACCTCATCACAGGCTATCCCCGCTTCAATATAAATAGTGGTAAAAGTGAGCTCTGACCAAAATGAAAGCAGCTGTGCACTCTAAGCAACCAATGTACACTTATAAACAGAATAATAGAACAGTGCAGCACTTGAGGGAAATATGAACAGATAAAGTACACAAATGAAAATACTGATAAAAAGTCTATATTGTAATAATCGTGCCAGGTGACTGGTAGCAATCAATGGTGGTGCTCCGTGAAGAATAGCAGAAATGCGCACTCACCAGAAAGTAAATAAATATGTGCGGTGTATATCATATCCCCAGGATCCTCATCAGAAAAAGGTCTGGTCAGATTGGGTGAATCCTCCCTCCGGGTTGCATTCAGAACTCGCCCAAAAGTGAAATAGAACAGATCCAGGTGACAAGAGGTCTCCTAATGCAGGCAACCTCTTCCATCCATCCTGCATTAGGAGACCTCTTGTCACCTGGATCTGTTCTATTTTACCTTTGGGCGAGTTCTGAATGCAACCCGGGAGGGAGGATTCACCCAATCTGACCAGACCTTTTTCTGATGAGGATCCTGGGGATATGATATCCCCACTTCAGTCTATCCTGAATTCTGTGGCCAGACTCATCCACCTTACTAACCGCTCCGTATCCGCCACCCCCCTCTGCCAATCCCTCCACTGGCTTCCGATTGCCCAACGCATAAAATTCAAATTACTAACATTGACGTACAAAGCTGTTCATAACACTGCCCCAAACTACATCACCGACCTGATATCCATTTACCACCCAAAACGTACCCTCCGCTCCTCACAAGACCTCCTACTCTCTAGTTCCCTGGTCTCTTCCTCCAATGCCTGTCTCCAGGGCTTCCCCCATCCTCTGGAACTCACTACCCCAATCCATCAGACTGTCACCTACCCTCCTCACCTTTAGGCACACCCTGAAAACCCATCTCTTCAGGGAAGCCTACCCCCGCCCTCACCTAATTGCTGATCTCCTCCACTCTTCCTACCACTCCATCCCCCACAGCTATTTCCACCTGTACCACTATCCCCTCCCTCCTAGATTGTAAGCTCCAAGGAGCAGGGCCCTCGAACCCCTCGTGTATTGTATTGTATTGTTGCTGTGCTGTCTCGTGTACTGTCTCCCATTATAAAGTACAGCGCTGAGCAAACTGTTGGCGCTATATAAATACTGTATAATAAAATAATAATAATATCCTCTCTCTCTAATACTTTAACTATAATACTCTCTATTTATAACTATTCATTTTTTTTTCATTTTCTTATTGTTCTATACCTCTACTGGTTTCGGATAATTATGCCAATGTGACTGCCAAATGACCACTAAAGTACATCAAAGTGCTGTGGGGAAAAATGCAAGCTGCTAGGGTGCGCAAATGGAATGGCCACCACTTGATACAACTCCCTCTATTTCCTCTGCCAGTGTGCGTAGATATATCAGCACTCCATACATGCACATTCCAAAGTCATGTGCACAGCACAGTATATTGTACTGTGCACAGCACAGTATATTGTACTGTGGAAGTTGCCATTTTTAGTTTATACATTACATTTTTCCTTTATTATATCTTCAGTGAAGGAGACCGGATTAGTGATCCGTTGTACAGTGTGTTCTATCAAGTGGCAGACATTATATTTGCATAACCACGCACTTTGTTCCCATAGTACTGCTCCTCCTGATGAAGCCTTAATTAGGGCAAATCATGTTGGGTAGTGGGCCATCTGAAATCACTTTGGCACTTTATCATTAACAGGAACCAGCAGAGGTACTGTATAGTACGAGAAGAAAGAGGAGAAAAAAAAGGGGATTTTTGACTTGCCAGTAAATTCAATATCTTGGAGAACAGTACAGGACAGAAAGTCATACTGTAGGTTATATGCCACTACCTTCAGGTGATTGGGCACTGACAAAAGATTTCCTGCAAATGCCCCTAGTTCACTCAAATATAACCCCACCCACTCCGTGGGGCTCCAGTTTATTGTGAGAAATAAGGAGAAAGGGGGAGGGACTTGTGTTCTGTACTGTACTCCAAGACATGAAATTTAGTGGTAAATTTCAAATTATCTTAATTGTACATTACAGGACAGGAAGTCAAACTGTGAGATATCCCCAAGCAAAAAACTAATGGGTGGGCAACAACTTAGCAAACAGCAGAAAACAGGTTTACAAAAGGAAGGGTCAATGGACCATAAACAGATGACAGCTTGAAGAACCTTTCAGCTGAAGGTCACATCAGCCGAGACCTTAACATCAGTAAAACTAAGAAAAAGTAAGAACAGGAGTGGTGATAGCCTGGAAAACCTGCAAAATGGATTCTTGATGCCGAAACACGCAAGAAACCCCTACAGATCGGGTGGAATGGGCCCTAATAGGGAAGGGATTAAGCTGTTCATTGAAGGCGTAAACCCCGAAAAGGCACTGCCTGAGCCACTTCGCAATGATAGAAAAGGAAACAAGATGTCTCTTCTTGGGAACTTCAGGGAGGATGTTGCAGTTGGGTAGACTCTAGCCACATATGGGCAGTGGAGTGAAATTCCCTGGTGGGTTTCGGAGCAGTACATAGGGAAGGGAAAACAAGAAGAAGAGGGTCTGGCTCTCAGGACCACCTTGTTCCTTTGTAAGGCAAGAAAAGGCTCCGTGCAAGAAAGAGCTACCAACTCTGAAGCACACCTGGTGGAGGTAGTGGCCACTTTACCTGTGAAATCCGACAAAGGGATATCCCAAAATGGTTCAAAGAGAGGATTTTACACTAGTCTCTAGGTGTGAGGGCAGATGCTATGAGAGGTATTTTGTCTGGCTTGAGCAATGTAAAAATGAGAGTCAGAAATTTCCTTATCGTTTACGACCTAAGTTTTTACCAGCCATGCCACTATAGGTTAAGTTACCCTTTGGAGCATGTTACATATGTTATACCCCCCTCTCCCTGTTACAGCAGGTGGGGGTTCTTCTCCACACACCAGCTGTTACTTTTTAAAAATAGCACAGCTGTGCAGGATCCATTCACAGATTCCTGTGAATGAAAAAACGTAAAGTACTGTCTGTCACTGCACCAAACGGATTTGTACTTTTAGTGGACTGTGGGGGCTCTGATAAATGCTCTTGTAGTCCACAAACATGTCCTGTGGCTTTCAAACAGAAAGTCTGTACAGAAGTATGGGCTGAAAACCAGAGGACATGTCTGCATGAGCCCACATTGTACCCGTGATCTACTGATCGTGGGTGCAATGTCTTCCTGGCTCCTGTAGGAAAAAATAAATGCACATTTTTTTCTCTGCAAAAATATGTGCATTAATTATTTTTTTCTCTAATGTGAACTTAGTCTTTAAACCCAGCAACTGAGAAACAGGGTGGAATAGAGGTCCCTGTGACAAGACGTCTGGTATGGGTAGAAGAGGCCAAGGCTCGTCTGCCAGTAGTGTGTCTGTGTAAGTTCTCCTGGGCCAAATTAGAGCGATAACGATAACTAGAATAAGTTCCTCTATTTTTCAGAGCAGTTGAGGGAGAATCTTCACTGAAGGGAATGCATACACCAGTCTGAACAGGAACTAAGGAATCACCAGTGTATCCACTTCCACAGCCAGGGAAACCCTGTACGTGGACACAAAACTGTCCAGTTTTTTGTTGACTCTGGAGACCATGATTGTCCACATTTGGTTTTCTTAATTTCTGACAGATCATCAGGAAGATCTCAGGTTGGAGTGACCAATCCCCTGAAACAAGGCATTTGCAACTCAGGATGTCTGCTTGCTACATTTTTTATTCCTGATGTGGATAGCGGAGAGCTGGAACATGGTTCTTCACCCATGAGTGAATTAGGTTTGCTATGACCCCTTTAATGGGGGTCTTCATTTCTGTTATAAAATTTTGCAAATAAATAATCTTCAGAAATGTAGGCCAAAATGTATATTGCTATATTTCTTTAGTGAAAAATAACTCAAATCAGTGTATGTTATGCAATCTGTAGGAAAGTTATAGAGTCAACAAACTATGGGATATACAGTTAGCTCCATATATATTAGGACAATGGCACAATTTTAGATTTTTCAGGTATTTACCTAAACATATTCAAGCTATAGTTATATAATGGATATGGACTGAAAGTGTATACTCTCAGGCTTAATTTGAGGGTATTGTACATCCAAATTGGAGGAAGGGTTTAGGAATTACAGCTCTAAAGAGTAGTAAACCACGCCCCCCCCCCTTTTTCAAGGGACCAAAAATAATTG